TGTTTGCTGTTTGTCGTAGATTGCTAAGCCTTATAAAATTTTGCACGTGGAGGATGTGAAACAAGATCATTGTTTAAGGTTTTATATATACATTTGAAATAACCAAAAATTCATAAATTAAAATATTGATACTATAGAATTTCACTATGATTTATTAAGCTTAGTAATAAAGCTGTATTTGTGTCTAAAAAAGATGAAATTTCCAGCAGATTAAAGACTTATTGTACCAGCTTGAAGATTTGATTCGAAAGAACATGATGATGTCGTAATACTTGAAAATGGCTGAGAAAGCCACTAAGGGGAGATTATGAGCTTTCAATTGGTTGTTAACAATTTGCTTGTTACATCTAACTCTAGATCTATTATGCTGTAAGTGATGAGTTCCTAACAGAACTCTTAACAGTTACTATTAGTTTAATTCCAGATCTTTAGTATCATATTGACAGCCTTTTAGTAACAACCTATGTGTTAAAAATTCAGTACAATGATAACAGTTTCTCCTTGCAAGAATTTGCTTGTGACATAAAGGATATCTAAACATATTATAAACGTTATGAATTCAACATGTGTACAAAACCATATTCAGTACCTGTGTTAACATGGCTGTACTCTGATCTTCTCTGTAAGCTTTGTTTATGACTGTTCTCAGTTCTTTTGATGGAAGAGGTCTAAAATAATGGAATTCGAAAGATTAAAAGTCAAAATTATATAATAATATAGATAATGATTTTGAGAATAAACTGGGTTACACACTAACTTAATTATGTTATTATCAAATACAAGTGATTTTCTAACTGGAAGACTATCTGAAAAAATCGATAATTAATATATCCAATCATAAATTTTAATTTTCTTAATTAATAAAGCAGCTACTTTGCACTGACAGGGATACTTCTCTTAGAAGTTTAATTATGGATTGTACACTTGGTTAAAATCACAATTTCTGGAATTTTCATGGACTTTCCACACTAAAATCATCTATTTTCTAGGACCTAAAGAAGTACTAACAGTCTTAGTGCGTGATTTACGACAAACACGAGTATTTATTTCCTCAAACTCACTAAAATTACTTCACAATTAAAATGAAGTACATGCACACAATAACATACAACTGTTTTAAGTTCACATTAAGAATACTAGACCTAATGAACATACAAAATATTCGTTTCTCATTTCAAAATTAGGGAAGGCTAGTGCAGATAGCCCTGGAGTACCTTTGCATAAAATTCACACAAACAATCAACCTCTGTTATGTATGTTGTATCCTGGTTCCTAATGAGTTGTGATATTAAATGAAATGTCTACTTGCCACTGGATATAGCAGATATAGTGTAGGTGACACATTATTACATTATTTTGTACTTTCACTCATAAATTCTTATAATTTCATATATAGAGCATGGAGTTAGTCAACACCACCAACAGTTAACTTTTGGGCTACTCTAATCGAATAGCATGATTTGACCACTACCCTTATAATGCACCTATGGCCTAAAGTGTGGATTGTGATTTTTTTTTGGTGGAAACCTCGGATCTACAGTCAACTAAAGTAGTGGTTGAGATGCTATATAAAATCATCAATTACTCAAAGAACAACATTGAATAATAAAACACTAAAATTAACACTTCATTCAGTGTAAAAGCATGAAATTTGATAATGTAAATGCAGTAATTATTAAGCAATTAAAACAGGAGTTCCGTAAGGTAAACATGACAAAATATTTCTCCACTCGGTCTTACCTACTTTATTATTTATTTAAAGTCATCTCATCTTGGCTCGTACCTTATAATATATATATAAACACACGCGCATATATATATATATATGTAATTAGATTACTCCTGTAACATTTCATGCTTCTAAATGAAAAGTAAAATAGAGTGAAAAAAGAACAGAATTTATGATGCTGAATGAAGTGTACTGCTCATTGATTTATAGCTGCATGTTAAATAGTTTTCCTACATCTCCAATCCAAAATAGTCTCAGCTTTACACAAGTAATTATTTTCTCTTATATACTCAATACTATAATTTGTTTATTATTGTTTAATATTATTTTAGTTGTTTCTACACAATAAAAATGGCTAAAACTGAAAGTACATTATTGATGTAATGCAGCTTGGCAACACTGGAGTCACATTAGTCCAAGCTGAAAGTGATATTATGAATAATACATTTTTGTTAACTTCACAATACTAGTTTGACCTAATGTCAATAATGAAACAGTACTATTTCCCACAGCTAATCACTTAGGTGTACCTGATTACTTGTATCAACTGCTTACCTGAAGAATTCAAAACTTCCTGGCACACACACACACACACACCAAATCCTTAAATTCCTAAAATTAAGTTACATTACTCTAAAGCAGATGTTTCAGGTTTTAACAATATCATGGTAAACTACATGCACAGCAGCAAAATATGGTCCACCAGTATCTATTCTAATGTGAACTTTATTCACATGGATGACCAGTAAGCTAATGAACAAGTAAGATAAATTAGTTATATTCTAAAACATACATTATTAGACACTCACACAATCACTATCTCAATGCAGAAGTTCAGGAAGTAAATGACAATTTAATTATTTAAGGTTGAGAAAATAACTACACAACTTCCTTGTGAACTTTACTTGCTGTTATGATAAGTAAGTTAACTGATGGATTGTGAGAAAGAGAAGTTAAAACAATGAACCAAAATATAAATGTTTTTTTATTTTTTACAGACGCTTGAAGATTTCTGGATAAGAATGTTTTGATGCAGACATTTTATTTCTCCAGGAATCTTGACAAAGCTATCTTCTTCAAGGACTTTCCAGGACCAGTAGAAACCATATTTAACATATGTTCACCATATACAAAATGTTTTCTTTAACTGTTTCTGTTAATTGAATATTTATACATGAGAGAAACAGGACATGTGAAAATAAATTCATTATCTCTAAATAATATTGAGTAAAAAATGATTTTACTTTACCTAGTAATGGTATATTCACTGAATGGTGGCATCCCAACTGTAAACTGTTTCTGTCTTACTAGCAAATCAGTGACAGCCTGGTAAGAATAAATAATATCAAAATAATGCATTACAAAATGGAATTAGTAAAAAGTTTAAATAAATGTTTTTAAACTAGTAGAAACTATTCTAGCAAAATTTCACCATATTCAATTAAAAAACAACAAATTCTAAAAAAATGATGCTTATAACCTTATTACCTTTGGAAGATCTTCTACTCTCTTGCCTAACATTCCAGCAATATGTCTAACAAGAGCCCATTTCTTTTCATGACAAGCCTGTCAAAATGTAGAATGTAATAGTCAGGTTAGCATTTTATAATAAAACTCTCAAACCACAGACCCTTGAAACTAAATATAACATTCAAAAGTTTACAGTAAAAATATTATTAGCACATATATAATACACAGCACAGATCACAGTACACATATTAACATTACAAACTAATAATTGCATCACAGAAAATCACAGTACATGTCATAGCATTAAGAATAACAGTAAAAACAAATATTTAAGAATGTTAACACAGCACAAAAGATTGAAGTAAACATATTATTTTTATAGAACAGTAACATGGTAAAAAATGCCATTGTTACATCCAGAAGAGAAAATATCCATGAAAAAATAATATTACATAACTACTGAGGTTTAATATGTTACATTAAAGTAATTTTGGAGCTTCACTATTGCTATAGTCCATTTTGTCATGTCCAATCATGTTCTATCTGATGACTATATATATCTTTACAAAAATAGACTTGCAGCACAATTTCCATTACAGAAGGCTCCATCATAAGATTGTCACACCTAAAGCACACCACTTCTCCCTGCTTGCTTTCCATAAGCCACCTAGAGTAAATGAATGATGGTTTCTACTAGCAACTTGAATAGTCTGATTGCACAGAAATTCTTAGACATTTAGTATAGTAACTTAACTGGTATGCCTTGATATGGTATAGCATGAATACCTGTTTCATTTTCCAACTGCCTGAGGTATGGAACAACTGAATGGCAGGTATTACTTGAAGCCTTTTCCTAGTGAACCCATACCATGTTGGTGTATTTTTTAGATGGAGATACTTCTTGATTATGTTGCATACTGTTGTTTTTGAACACATGGACAGCTTATTCCATTGACAAAGAGGTCATGTGGCCTCTTTGTTCCATACTGTATATATATATTCATGTGTCTATGTAAACTACTTGTACCTGATGATGATATTAGTATGTTGAAAGATTGTACACTCATAATAAAGTTTCTTGCACTCCCCATTTAAGCCATCTCCAAAATTTTATTTTCTAGAGAGTGGGTTCCTCTTTATCAAATTTCAAGTTTTATTTTGTTAATAATTATACTGTGTTTGGTCATATTTATATTAGGTTTTATTGGCCTAAATAAATTCTTGAATGGCAAAGAAAATCAGATAATAATCAAACACAATTTAAAAAAGTTATATATATATTAATATATAATGGGTTTAAAACTTATTACATATATTAAAACAAAAGTTTGTTACTAACAATTGAAACAAGTTTGGTTTCTTATGATTTTATGATAAAAAAAGTTATTTTTTATTGTACACCAGTGATCAAAAACACAGTTCAGGGTTTCACAAATAAAAACAAAGACAAAATTTAGTTTTATAAAATAAAAACTTTATATATACTAAGGTCTTACAATAATGTAGGATGACATAAAAATGAGTAATCAGTAATTAAAATCTACAATAAAGGTTAGCATTCTTTAATGTTTAATAAACATTTCATAATGAAATGTTATTCAATTTTTAAAGCTGTGTATTTATAAAAAAGATCACTTTAAAAAACAAGATATTTTATTTCTTGAAGTTACATAGTATGTATGAATGGTTTCTGAAGTTTATAATTATTTCATCCAGTAGCTGTTTTTTTGCAGTGTAATAAAACAAATCATACTAACAGGTGCATGTAGGAGAAATGAAACATACTCAAAACCATGTATGTAGAATATATAATGTTTTTCACAGAAAATAACATATCAGATTTCAAACCTTTTCATAAAGATCCTTCAAAAGATCCTTGACAGTTACATGGTCATTAGGATGACCAAGACCGGTGTCACAGTTTAGACCCCTGAAATAAATTTTAAAATTTCTTCACATTACTTTTTAATGCTTCAGCAAATGGAAATAAATAATGCACACTCTCTGCCAAGACAAAAATATTTAAATAACTTTGTCAAAGTTTAAAACTTAAATATTTATCAGTGAAAAAAAGAGCAAAACAACAAGCAGAACTAAAACTTTCGGTCTGATAGTTAAAACATAAATTCTCCCAAACCAGGCACACCATTATATTAAGACTTTCTATGTTACAGGTAAAAGCAAGACATACCACTAGCCCAAACCATTCTAAGTGATAGGTAAAGCAAAAAGAAGCATTAGGAAGAGCTTTCCAACTTACAGTTAAAAATATTGATTATTGGTTGAAATTAAAACTTTTTAATATAGAACATTTCTCTCAGATATAGCTTAAACAAGAAAGCTAAAATTTTATAGGTTATAAAATATCTTCAGAATAAAGTTTCTAGATTATATTTGTTTTATAGTTACGCTGTAGGGTAAAAAACTGGAAGTTATAATTTTCCTATACTGAAAATGTATTTCCAATAGGTACTCCCCTTCACTAATGCCAAAAGCCTTCCACACACTCCTATTGGAATCACCGGCAGAACACCACTGCCCTACTCTGAACTGAATAGTTATAGCAATCTGGTGGAAGCCATCCAGCAGGATGCCTCCATGGTCAACCACCCCAGTGACTTGGAACTGGCAAATGGTAAGGACTTCCATACCCCACTGGCAGAAGGGGATGGGTGGGATGGGAGGAGTGCAATCGAGAGTCAGGAGAAACAGCTACATCTGAGACAGTGCAATGGGTGATCACAAAACCCTACTTTGAAAAGCAGACCATACCAATTTATTCAATTGAGGCACGGCAGAGATGGGCAATTATTCCCTTCTGCTTTATCCATGCTGTCCATGGGTGGTACGGTCAGGGACGAGCTTATTTATGAAGCAAATATCATGAGATTATTGACCATTTAGTGATCTTGTGAAACACCCCATCTTGAGGGTGAGTGTGCAGAGCCATGGAAATAGTGTGCAAATCAACATGGCGTACAGTGTGGATTTGTGTATATAAAGAATACCTGGTCAGGCACCACTCGCAACAGAGCGGGATCCAAGAGATGAAATTTGAAGCAAGGGCCCCTGAAAGAAAAGAAAGCATTAATAAAGACTTATCTAGTATCACAGTTGCATCAAAGTCTGAAGTATAGCCACAGGTGGTAGGTGATACCCAGAGGAAGCAGAAACCGCGACGTGATGTAAGTAATGGGAGATGAATGTCTGAGGGGTGGTTCACATGTCTGACTGCAGAATCTCCTCCAAAGGACCGACGAAGACTAGAAGCAAGGGAAAAGGTAAGGTGTCAGGTTTGAAGAATAAGCCAACTGGATTAAACGACGAACCCAATTGGTAAGGGTAAAGGGAGAAAGATCCTGAGAGGAAGAGGGTTGCAATGGAATAAAGGAACAGGAACCCTTGAAGGAAGCCGTGCAGGCAATATAACAACAAAAGGCATGCACCGGGAATAGAAGATCAGGATGAGGGTAGAGATGAGAAATAGAGGGAAGGGAAATGAGTGAAAAGGAGTTACCCATGCGAGCCGCCGAGGTCTTGGGAAGGAAGAAATGATCCGGATAAAGGAGAAGATAGGTTTGGTGGTACAGTGTAAGTGACGTTGATAGCAAACAGATCTGACCAACGATGCCCACAGGTCAAGAGGCGAAGGAAATATGCCTTAAGGGATAGGTGAAACAAAGAACCTGCAGTAATGGGAAAAATAAAAAGTATGGGATAGGGCTGCCCAAGAACCTGATATCAAGGAGACCAAAGACCCCTTCTCAAAAAGCCAGATAAATGCCAGGCGTGAAGATGGAAGATGTGAAGTTGTGTTATGGATGAGGAAGACTACCTGATGAAGAAATCGGATAGGAGTATAAACATAAAGGAACTTGTTCGACCAATCCTGGCTGAAGGCAATAATAGCCAAAGCCCGAGGATGGGGAACCGGGAACCAAGACAAAAGTAGCTGATAATTGAGGTCAGTGGGAAATGCATCGATATGAGGAATACCCCACCAACCACAAAGCCACCAAAAAACAAGGGGATGAAGTGACCACTCCATTGGGTAAACCCGGTCAGGTCAGGAAAGACGATACGGCACAAGGTTGAAAACACCTGGTATGTGACACACACGATCAAATGAATGTGATGATCGTGGGCCCAAAAGAGAAGATACAACGTTAGAAAACACAGGGATCTTGAATGGGTGCCACCTTAGTGATTGGTACGAGCCACCACTGTTGAATTGTCAGAATGGATCAAGACAAGACAATCTCTGGAAATGAAAAGAAAGTGATCCAAAGCAAGGTGAACAGCAAGGAGTTTGAGGACACTGATATGAAGAGAATGACAGACCAATGACCTGAAGCCTCCTGGTGATCGACCCACACACTCCAGCCCTCAAGGGATGCATCCATGAACAGATGTAAATCAGGCTGCAGAGGAGGAAGCAGGACATCTGCCATGGTATGAACCTTGTCCAATCCCCATCGGGGATTGTCCACAATGTAAAAAGTAAGGGTTATAGGAGCATATGAGTGATCCCAAGCAAGGTTCCATTGGTTATGGAGGTCCCATTGAAGGGATCCCATATGAGCCCAGGCTGAAGGGTCTGAGAGGAGTCATAGAAGATCACATCCCCAAAAGCGATAGAACCTCGCTTGCTGTGTCAAGTCTTGCACTGGCTTGGATAGATGCTAGCATGATAAAGGGATCCTGAGAAGAAAAAGAAATAGGCACACAGGACAAGGGAGGAAGGGTAAGAAAGGGTGTGACAAACCCCTCTGATAAAACTCGGGGAACCCAAACATCTGAGATGAAAGGACTCCATTAATGAACAATGGTTGCCAGATGAGCTCCCAAACCCATCATATAGTCACTGGAACCATTGTTGGTGTACTATGCAACATTGTGAAAAACAAAGAACAGTGGCACCATGGGAAGGAGAAACAGGCAAGGGCTGGGAATGGGAGGATCAGGAGACAGGAATTGGTGCCACGCTCAGCCCCAACTGGGACAAATGCACATCCAGATGAGAATGAGTGGATTGTTCCTCAACTCCAAAGATTCTGGGATTGTGTCAAACACGAAAGATCTCAAAAAACGTCCCGTAGATAAGGAGACAGGTCCATGACAACTTGGCATCATGACCCAAAAGGTCCCAACCACAAATAAACCACGTTTGCAGAGCCGAAGATGACAGTTAGGTGATGATGTATGCCTCATCTCCCGCAGGCTTCAGATCAGTCTGTCCTCACTTATCATAGGGTGGACTGTCTATATGTGGACCAACAATTGTTGGGTTCAGTTTTGCCTGTTTGGGTGGCAAGACCCGAATCTCCCATTTATTTTACCCATGCTAAGTATTTCTGCCTTTGTCTTACCCTGATGACTCTTTTGTGGTACCTCACCTCGACCCATCTCCTGTCTGAGGCTCTTCACAGGAACCCTGAGGGGTTTTCTTGGACGTCCTCTCACTTCTCATTTCCATGTTGGCTTACCTGGGAGGTGAAACACTCAGTGTGAACCTGAATATCAGGGGATGGGGAAAAAACTAAATAAGGCTGGGAGGCAGAATCATGTAATAAGGAAGGATGTGGGTCATAAGAAATAGGAGCAATAGACAAAACATCACATACCTGAGAAATAAAATCTGAAAAAGCCAATGAGGGACGAACAGGATCCTCAGGTAGGGTTTGGAATGTCACAGCAAACTCTTGGGGCATGGAACAAATGATCAAAATCATGCCTGCCCCTGAGATATATCCGAAGTTGTAATGTCTACTTTGAAATTCATACTTGATACCAAATAAACAAGTGAAAATTTGTGGCAATGCATGGGTAAATCAAATGCTTTTGAAAATAAAGTGAAAAAAAAAATGCTTGAAATAAGTTAAATTAAATTAAGTTAAACCACTTTAAGAAGTAATGAGCAAAAAGAAAGATGTTTGAGCACAAGCATTGCCAAATGAGAAGTGATGGTTTGGTAGTGGTGCATAAAAGAAGTCACATGCGTCACATAATAGTAGAACTCTCCTATTGGTGGAGAGATGATGCATAATGATTCGCATGAGAAATATGTTGGAATCTTTGATTCCAATAGAGGGGGTGTGGAAGACTTGTGGCATGCAAAAGTTTGCATATAGAGGGCAGTACAAAACTGGAAAAGCTAATCTTGTTTGATTTTGTTTCCAACTGTATCAACTGTTCAAAGATGTGGAATACTGCTTAAATCTTCGTTAGTAAAAAACTGAAGAAGAATATAAATTTAATAACCCAGCCAACTCATAATCATCAGATACTAGCCTTCCTTTATCATCCCTCAAGGGTCCTACCCCCATCCTAACATTCTGTTTACCCTTAATGTATTTAACAAAATCCTTACTGTTAATTTTTACATTTTCAGCCAACCTTTTCTCATACATCCTTTTTGATTTCCTAATTTCATGTTTCACCAACTTTCTTG